TTCCCAGATTCTTAAAGAGATTCGTTTTCCTACCTGGGTGGATTAGAAGAAGGCACACTAAGTGTACGAAACCTGGAGCACTAGGGACTCTGGACAAGGCTTCCCTTTCTCTCTTCATTTTGGGTTTAGCTTTAGGTCCCTCTCGCAGACAATTGGCATGATTTGTCCACTCCAGGCACGTCCCTCAGTACCGCTTGGAGTTGGTCTGCCACCGCTCAGCCCTGCCAACTCCTCTGTGAATAGACAGAGCTCTGTGTGTTGTTGAGTTTGTCTTTTTTTTTGGTCAGACCTGACATTTTCTGGTTTCATGAACCCTACATCCTCAGCGTCAGGAGATTAGCTGCCAGGACTGAGAAATAATGAACAATATCCCCAAATCTTCAAACACAAAGTAACAGCGAAAGCCTGACTTAAACCTCTGAAAACAAGGAGCTTCTGAATCCCAGCTGACACTGCCTTTCGCTCGCTCCTCGAGAGTGCAGCGCACACTGCATTGCATGTGCCGTTCTCCCTGAAACGCACCAGCAGGGCAGTTACGCCGGGCATTTGCATTTCCTGGCCTCTCGGGCTCAAGCCAGACACTTAGCATTGTTTTAAAGGGGTTGCATTCTTTGTGGTAACTGTGCAGTGGAGTTTGCCAAGCTTCACTGGCTCATTGGATCACAAATAACTCTGATGTCTCAGATGGTCAAATCTCTTGGGGTTCATTAAACAGGGCTTTCTTTATAGGAAGTGGCATGAGGAGGGGGGGACTGCTGCCTCCTAGAGCAACCCCCGCTCCTGTAAAAAGGGTTTAGACACCTTAACCAATACTTTCCCTTCTATCCCGAGGCAGGATGCTATCTGCTGCCCATTCTTAGAGCAGTTTAGGCAGAGGATATTTGTTGGGATTCCCTCCAAGACCTTTTCCACTTGGCTTATCCAGCCCTACAACATTGCCATGAGCGGATGTTCCATACTGTACCCTTCTGCTAGGCAGTGCCAGGAGCAATAAGGGCTGAGTTCACTATCTAGGGGTTCCTCTTAATGTTACAAACCCAAACCAGCCCAAGCCTCCCCTCTCCCCCCCCCCAAATCTGGGGAAACTAAACACCCACACAGGGTGCCTCTAAGGGGCAATGCTTCCTCACTCGCAAACACCGAGTCTGGGGATAACAAGAGAAAACAGTTATTAAAAGGGAGTGGCAACTCAGCATTACTTTGGGAAAACACCATGATTCAAAAGTGTGCAAACCTTAAGTAAAGGCCTGCCTCACAATACGGGGGCAGTGTCTTTGCCTCAGTTTCCCCCCTTGCAGTGTGAAAATCCAATGGACAAATGTCCCTTTAACACGCCACTTCCCTTCCCCTCTGCTGCACCCGCAAAGCCCTAGAATTCAGGGCTGCGCTCACATGGGTTCGCCTCCCATCCCTGTAAGGGATGCCTCTGCTGCTGCCACTGCTCAAACCCACCGCTAATGTCTCTGCCACTGCTTGCCCTGCACCACTGCCTCTGCCTCCAGCTGTAGTGACATGTTCCGAGATTCCCCCACTGAGCCCAATTCTCGGGGATTTCAGCAGAGCGTGGGGAACCCCGCTGCTGCTGCTGCGCCCTTTGTGCGAGCTTTCACTACAATGCTCTCCCCAAATCAGATGAAAGGCTCAGTCCCCTAGACCTGCTGATCAACGATTTCAGCTCTAGTGACCCCTGAGCAGAACCACGGGCTCTAAGTGGAGTCTGACCAGCTCTCTCTTTAAGCCCTGGAGGTGGGGGGTTAAATCGGACTCTTTAAACAGAGCCCATTCCACCAGGTAGAAACACTTGTCCACTCCCTCAAATTTCCCTTGGATTTGACATTACCCCCTGCTTAGCAAGTGAGGCGTAGGACATGGCAAGTACAGGTTTGTTGCCTTTTAGGCAACCTCAATAGGCAAACCACACGTCAATGAGGATAATTACATTTCATTACCCCTGCAGTCAAGACTAAAGTGAATTTTAATCTAAAACAGCCAAAACAGGTCTGGCTGCTGAGCACTAGGTCAGGGGTAGGCAACCTATGGCACGCGTGCCGAAGGCGGCACGCGAGCTGATTTTCAGTGGCACTCGCACTGCCCGGGTCCTGGCCACCGGTCCGGGGGGCTCTGCATTTTAATTTAATTTTAAATGAAGCTTCTTAAACATTTAAAAAACCTTATTTACATACAACAATAGTTTAGTTATATATTATAGACTTACAGAAAGAGATCTTCTAAAAACGTTAAACTGTATGACTGGCACGCGAAACCTCAAATCAGAGTGAATAAATGAAGACTCGGCACACCACTTCTGAAAGGTTGCCGACCCCTGACCTAGGTAGAGTAGGAATCTATGCAAGTATGGTCTGCTCCTGAGGTCTTTTCCACCAGTTCGTCAATAGATGGCAGGAGAGAGTTCACTCAGATCCTGGCTACACTGCATACAGGCGAGTCTCATCTTACGCGGGGGTTCAGTTCCGCGGTTAGCGCGTAAAGCGAAAACCGCATCTAGTCAAAATTACATTGAGTTGAATGGCGGGCAGAATCGCCTGCACGACAAGTACAGTATTAAAATGGTTATTTTTCTCTCCCCCCCCCCGACCGCGTAAAGCTGAAATCGCGCATGTTAAATGCGCGTAAGATGCGACAGATCTGTATTGTTCTGCCGGGAGGTGGCATGACATGTGGACTTGCCTGCTGAAGCCTGCATTCTGCAGTAACACCGAATTCCATCCCTACAGATTTGTGGGGGCCCTGGGTAAGCACCTAAGGAGCCACATATTGATCTCCCACTCAGGACGCTTGAATTAGCAATAGACAATTGGTGGATCAGAGATAGAGGTGTACCTAGCACAGCAGGTGACAATAGGTTATTTACAATGCCCAGTGGTTAGTGTGAGGGCCTAATTCGGTGTGTGTCAATCATCCCTCTGATTACTGCGCCCGTTCCGCCTCACCTCACCTGTGTTTGTCTTTTTACAGAGTACGTTTTTTGTGGCAGAGGCAGCACGTACATGTGTCTATAGAGCACCCAGCATAATGAGTTCCCGAACATGACTGTGCTCTTGGCTAGTACAGCATTATAAACAAAGAACTGGGAAGGTTGCAAGGAGCTGTGTACATGTGTGCTGCTGGTAGGTGGATGACGCTCATCCGTACATCTCTTCTACTAATAAGGCATCGGCCATCATCTTTATAACCTCAGTCCACAAGACGTCCCAGTGCCTGGAAGATGTGCAGCTGGCTGAAAAGCAGTTGGCACACAGTCAGTGCAGGAAAGCCAGAAGTGGTGTTAGGAAGGACAGACACTAGCAGAACATACAACCCTACTAACACTGGAAGGACCAGGGCCGGCTCTAGGATTTTTGCCGCCCAAAGCAAAAACAATTTTGGCCG